TTTTCCAGCTGCTTTTTATATCAACACAAGCACCAAAAGATTATGCTTTGAAAAAAAAATTTAAAAAGTCACTTGTCAAAACAGAGAACCTCAGCAGGCAGAGAGACGAGCACAGGAGAGACAAAAAAATGTCAGTATTGCGAGCAACACACCCAAAACCACACACTGAAAATATCTTCCAGTCATGGTTTAAATGCATTTACACACCAAGACACACACYAAAGCATTATGGGGAATAGAAAACGCAGTCGCATTGTTTAGGGGATGAATTATTTGCTGGCTTGTTTAAAACATTCCACCCAGCACCTCTCAGGAGGATTCAGGAGGCTCTGCAGTTCCTGCATGGAGCGCAGCTCCTTGGAAACACACACTCTGCCTGCATGTCATCCGCACTAACAAAGACACATTTACCTTACAGTGACAATCCACTGTTTTGTGCAACATTGCTTCTGCATATCTTCAAACTAAGTTGCTTCTTTTCACCAACCAGCTCAGCCAAATATGACAACAAATCATGCTGCAAATCCAGCAAATCCAAGTCTCTTGTTAGATTAAATGTCCAGAGGGCACCTCTCCAAACCTCACAATGGCTTTCACCACACTCCACTGCTCTCTTTATTTGGTTTTCACGGCACCTAGGGTGGCACAGGCTCCAGAAACTCTTGATTTGGCAATTAGTTTGTGAAAACAGTGTTGAGCCTTGTTCATCGTTATCATCACGAGTTTGCTCTCCAGCTGTCTGACTGATCAGCAATACAGACGTTACTTATTCTGACTCAGTCACTGGTTTGGTTGAGGATGTCGTTTTTTTTTGAGAAATCTTATTAAAAAGGTAGTTTGAATCACACAGAGATATAATTAAGTACTGCTGGCGAAAGTTGTTTGATTGCTCAACTCAYCGCTTTGGTCCGAGTGAAATAATTTCAACAATAAGGTCATGCTGTTTCACAATTTCTAAAGGATGAAGCCAACCGAGGAGGGTATCTTTGTGACAACTTGGAAAATCCCATCATCACCACCATCAACATTTTAACTTGTTTGGTTTTATCCCAAAACATGCTGATTTGTAAAAATACTCTTAAATTTCATTTAAATGTTTTTAAAGTTCAAAACATGTTTTTTATGGTTCTCTCTTACTGTTAGTCACAGTTTGGACTAAAAGCACAGGGTGGAGTTGAATTTTTAATTTTTTTTTCTTCAAATCTGGGACCAATTCAGGCTCTTCAGTTGGTCATCTGTGTGTGTGTGTGTGTGTGTGTGTGTGTGTGTGCACTTGTTTTTACTACAGAGTAAGGACCATTTGCAACATATTTACTATCAAAGTGAGGTCTTTGATGTAAAGTGAGGATCACTGTAATGTCCTCACTATTTGCAGCTCTGGTGTGCTTTACTAGTTAGATTTAGAGGTGTTTTGGTTCAGGTTAGTGTTAACTACAGACCAGTAATGGTGGATTTTTGGGAAAATGCCTGTTAGGCATAAAACAGTTACAAAAAATGAATGGAAGTCAATACAATGTCCTCAATTTGATGCAAATACAAGGATGTATGTGTGTGTGAGTGAGTGAGTGAGTGAGTGAGTGAGTGAGTGAGTGAGTGAGTGAGTGAGTGAGT